TCTTAGATCATGATAGCCTAACCTTAACCCTAACCCGAACTCTAACCGAGAACCCTAGCACGTGAACCTTAACCGGGGAACATTCTAGAACGTAGGAGATAGACGCCCGGCTAATCCCGAGCGCTTATTAGTCACGTGGAACTGACTATTCTTAGGGCGTGAGAAGTTTCAGGTATTTTTACATGAAACACCTATTTATAGGTTATTTTCCCACTGTGGGAGAATTATATCATTTAAGGTAATCCCGATGCGATCGCATCGGCCTCGGCATTCACATCAGTCATCAAGCATGCTAAGTTTAGCTGAAACGCTTACTAACATCTATTCCTATACAATGATGTCATTTGGATGCACCCGTAGAGGCGTCTCCCGCCTCTCTACAGACATCCGATGGTACTCCACCTTGAAACTATTTTGGTCCTGAAGAGTATATATACGAAACAGGTTGGCCTGGGGAGATCCCCCAGCCCTGTTGACCAAGTTTCAACCTCTCTTCTTTTTACGCTTACCCTCCTCGCTTCGCTCGTCGGGCAAGCTACCACCCTAACCCTAACCCAATGGTGGCAGGCGCTTCATCAATCCCTAAAGGAGCTGGGCTTTGAACAAATCCAGTCTGATGCTGGGGTTCACAAGTCTAGGTAGTCAAAGACTGGAGCGGTCATTGCCGTCATCTACGTCAACAACACTTTATTCTTTGGGCTGGATTGTGAGGTGTTAACCCGCGTGAACACCACATGGTGAGGTACAGGCACGGCTGCAGGCTACCTTGCCACAAAGGTGCCACTGTCTTGTCTGGTGGCATAACCTCTTGTTGAAATCATGGCTCAGTTTTTGTACAGTTTCTTTTCTCTTATCATGATTGATTCAGGTACTATTGTAGCTACTAGATGTAGCTACAAACACTGTATAAGTCTACGCTATGCATGTATGGGGACTTCAGTTGGTTTGGACTGAATGTCCCCAGTGTGATTGCACTATCCCTATTTCTCTAATTTCAACTGCTGCGGAAACTTGACCATGTTGTGTGCTTTGAATGGTAAGATGCCATTGAGTGCAGAGTGTGCTGGAAGCAATGCCGGAGGGCCACACACAATGGCTACATGCTAATGATTAGCTCAAGGTTGACTCAAGGTTGGTTCACTTTGTGCTGACATCAGGATCGTCACTGAGAGTGCTGTTGTCAGGCACTATAGCCAAAGTGTTGTCAGCACTATATTTACCATTATGGCTGTCTTTGTGGTTGGTGTTGAGGGCTAAACTCTAACGTCTAAAGCCTGAGTGCAAACTAACTGTCCATCCTTGGCTTGGCCCTCCGGACCTATAGGAGGGACAGTTAGTTATGAAAGGTGTGTTAAATCTCTCCAACTTCCTACACCACTGTGAACCTAAGGTCAAAAAAGTACAGTATGTTTTGTATCTTATTGCTGTCCCCCAAAATGTCAAGGTGTCATTTTGGGGGGTGAAAAGATGCTGCTGGTGTGTAAAGCTGCCCCAAAACGTCATCATGTCATTTTGGGGACATTGAACACTCAAACTGTGTTTTGCAAATTTTGTCTCCCCTCAAAAGGACATTGTGTTGTTTTGGGGGGGTGAAAAGGTGTACAAAGGTGCCCCCAAAATGTCATCATGTCATTTTGAGGGCATTAAACACACTCAAACTGTGTTTTGCGAATTTTGTCTCCCCTCAAAATGACACCTTGACATTTTGAGGGGGTGAAAGGTGTCTAAAGGCACCCCCAAAATGTCATCATGTCATTTTGAGGGCATTAAACAC